CAAGACACAACATATTTACATTTATTTAAAAAAATCCTTAAATCAACCAGAGAGAAACTATTCAATATTTAAAGGGAAGTGGATACCAGTTTAAATGGCATTGGCTTTCTCATCTGAAACCATGGAGGCTGGAAAGATTTGGCACATTATTCAGGTGCAGAAAAAACAAAACTATATGTAAATGGTCATAATATGCCAGTTTAAATACAAAAATTGTCAGAATGTTTTTTTTTTTAAAAAGCAACACAGCTATATGCTATCTATAAGATGTTAATTTAAAAAACAATGATATAGGTATATTGAAAATATAATATGGAAAATATTTATCATGTTAAATCAACCTTAAAAAGGGAGGAATGATGTATTGATATATACAGTAGATCTGAGCAAAGAACATTACTAGGACAGTGGGTGATGTCATATTAAAATCATTAATTCACCTAATAGATATAGCAATAATAAATGTGCATGTACCAAACAAAGTAACTTCAAAATAGATGAAGTAAAATTTGATGTAAATAAAAGGAGAAATAGACACAGTTAAAGTTAGTACTTCAACACCACACTATCAGCAATTGAGGTAACAAAATACAGAAAATTAGCAAAGACATAAAAGAAGTGAACAACTCTATAGATCAAGAGCTAATTTTCATTTACAGAACACTCCACTGAACAATATCAGATTACACATTCTTTTTAAGTGTTCATGTAGCATTTACTAAGACAGACCGTACACTGTTGTAAAATATATTGAAAAGAAACTCTGACCTCATAGAGTATGTGGTGTGACCATAATGACATCAAATTGGAAATCATCAATAGACAGGAGAACCTACAAATAATCCATGGTTCAAAGATGTTAAGTAAATAATCCATGGTTCAGTGATAACTTCTGATAATAAAATGATGAAAGAATGAAGTAAAAAGAAAAAAGTGAAAATGTTGTCACAACACTTTTATCTTGAAACTTGAACACACTTCAAAATTTGTGGAGAACAATTATAACAACCTGAGAGGGAAATTTATAGCTTTAAATGCTTACATTAAAAAAAAGAGGAAAGATTGCAAGTAAATAATCAAATTCTTTTCAATATAAACTAGAAAAAGAAGAACCAAAGATACCAAAGCAAATAAAGGAAGGAATTAATAAAATTAAAGCAGAAGTTAATAAAATTGAAAGCATAGAAACAATAAAGATATCTATGAAATTCAGAGCTGCTTCTTTGAAAAAGTATCAGTAAAATTGATAAACCTCCAGCAACACTGACAAGTTAAAATAGAGAAGATATAAATCACCAATGTCAGAAATGAAACAGGAGATATCATTTCAGATTCTGTAGCAATTAAAATGTGGAGGAATATTTTAACTTTATAGTCATGAATTTGATAACTTATAGAAATGGATCAAAATGCTCAAAATCCACAAACTATCAAAATTCAACCAAGGTAAAATTGATAATCAGTGTAGTCTTATAACAGCTAAATACAGTGAACTTGTAATTTCAGAGCTTCTGAACAGGAAATTTCCAGGCCCAAATAGACCGAACATTTAAAGAACTAACATTAGTTTTACTCAATTACTTTCTGAAAAAGGATAGAGGGACTATTTCACAACCAATTCATGAGATTAGTATTATCTTGACAGAAAAAGACAACAAAAAAGACAAACAGCATACAAAACAATCCAAAACCAAAACTGTAGTCCATTATTTTTTATGAACTTAGATATTCTCAAACAGAATATTAGAAATTCTCAACAGAATATTAAAAAAGCAAATGCAAAAAATCATAGAAAGAATAATATACCTTGATCAAGTAAAATTTATTCCAAGAATCAAAGGATTAATCAACATAAAAATGATTCAACAAAAATTGATCAAGCAGTATATCACATTAACAGAATCAAGGGAGAATACTACTGGATCATCTCAATTGAAGTAGAAAATACATTTGACAAATTTGACATCTTTTCATGTTAAACATACTCAAAAAACTAGAAATAGAAGGACACTACCTTGACATAATAAAAGCCAGATATGAAAGATCTATCATACCCAAAGGTAAAAGGCTGAAAACGTTTCCTTACTATCAGGAGTAAGGCACTTAGTTAGCAATTATATATAAGTGTGAGTTTGCAGACTTGCATAATGTTTTAAATGCACCAGCAGCCTGTAATTACCAGTAAGTTGAACAATTTATTTATTTATTTATTTATTTATTTAAAACCCCAGGTTCTGAAATTTTTTTTTTTTTTTAAGATTTATTTATTTATTTATTTATACAAGCACTGGGTACAGTCAGAAGTGCGGGAGGGTGAGAGAATTCACCAGAGCCAGAGCGGGGAGCAGAGCAGGCAGAAGGACCGAAGTACACTGCTGAGGGGAGCAGCGGGCGGCAGGAGAGGTCTGCGCGCCATGTGGGACCCTCCTCTGGTGGCCGGGGAGCAGCCGGGGATCGAACCGGCGCTGCAGAGGCCGCGGGCAGCTTCGCAACCCAGCACTCAACTGCTGCACCACCGGAGAGGCCCGAGTTGAACAATTTAGCTTTGCTTTATGTTATTATTTTTTACCCATCTATATTAATTATTTTTATCTAGAAATATAAACTAAAAATGGACTGTAATCTCACTGACTAGATAATCCCAGCAGGCATTAAAAATTAATAAAACTGACCTGCTTGGGAAATTAAAGCAGAAAACTACAGAAATGTACAAAAAGTCTAAAATACACTTCCTTGTACTTTCTGTACTCTAGACTGTTTTCCATAGTCTCATGCACTGTAAACATTACTTACGATTTTTTCTACAGAAAATCTTTTATTTCAATAGCCAAAGTGTGTGTGTGTGTGTGTGTGTGTGTGTGTGTGTGAGTGTGTTTCTAGATGTATCTTTATTTACCCTTTTTTTGGGACTATATTCACCACACTGTTCTGCACCTTGTGTTTCCTATTGAGAATTGTTCTTGGAGATCTTTGCACAATAATTTTTAAAGTGTTTTATCCCCAGCTCTAGAATTGTGTCCAATTCCAGATTTCTTGCCTGCAGTATCATTGACTCTTAGATGTGAGAGAAAGATATATGTCACGCATATATTCCCAGGTCCCATCAGTCCAAATCTTTCCAGTCCTTTGCTCCTGCCTGCAGGCTGATGTATCCTCTGCCCTGCAACCTCCTTAGAGGTTCTGGTTATTTGGGGAGGCCCTTCTCCCCTGTCCAGGACACTGTCTCCCAGGGTGGTCAGGAGTTGCCAAATCAGTTTGCTTGGAACCACCATGGGTTTGCACATATACGTGTACACAAATATACCCGAGGGTATGGGTGTGCTCAAAAAAAAAAATACACTGACAATCATCTCAGTTGCTAGTTTCTTCTCTGCACTGACTATTGTTCTGATATGTAGCCATCCATATTCTTGCTCACTCATGTATTCATTTATGCTGTGATATAGCTGCATGAATACTCAGCTGGAATGGAGGGAGCATTTGTTTTGACTGCAGAATACTATGCCTTTTCAGCTCCTGTGTTTTCCATGCAGGAACAGTACATTCTCACAGTGGTAGCTGGATGGAAAACACTGCATTTTGATGGAGAAGGTTAATTACTTGTCCAGTAACCGGACTTTCAGGGTGTTTCAAGACAGAAGACATGTCTTATTAAGAAGATACATTGGCAAAAAAAAAAATAAAAATAAAAAATGGAAGCAACGCATGAAGGCAGGAAGGTAGAATGGAAGGAGAAATAGGTCATCTTTGTAGCCCATATCATTGTAACCATTGGGAAAAGTAGCAAAGACACACATCACTCATACTGAGGAGCAGCAGTGTCAGTCTTTGCATTCAGAACTATTTTGCTGCTGCTACTACTGCCACCTCCTGTTTTACCCTCCTCCTCATTATTACAGCTATCATTTTGTGTACCACCATTCCTGATTCAATCTAAATGAAACAGGTAATCCAGAAATTTGTTTGAGTCACACGTTGGAAAAATGCATTTGGAATAATTTCCTGAGAAAGCCTGGGTGCAGAATACAAATATTTTGAATGGACTTATCTTAGGGTTGTACTGCTTTTTTTCCTTGTCATTTTAAAACCCTTAATATGAATAAATTGTTTGTACAGTGAGGCTTTTTAAAAATCCTTAGATAAGAAATACATGGTTTGAAAGCAAAGAATAAAAGCATGAATGATAATGTATGCAATGCCTGGGAGAAGGTCCTAGCTGCTGCCGCTGTGGAGCAGGCGTTATAATCGGCTATTCGGTGTGTTTATTTCAGGCAGCAGATAGTGGATAAAAGTGACTGGTTGGTTGCCAGCACATGACTTAGTTGCCAAATGGAGTGTTTAGTACTTGTTACATTTGATTTATATCATAAGTTCTTCCCATTAACAGTCTACTGGTGATAACCTACTTGGCTTTTCATGTTCCTTTGAAACAGCCACTTGACAACATTTGACATATCACAAAGTTTAATACCGAATAAAGGCCTGAGTGAATGCCAACACAGGTTCTGCCGTGTGCTGATAGGGTGTTTGTACCCAAAAGATGTCTGTTCATTGAATAAATAAATGCTACAGATGTGTTTCTTTGATTCACTGTGTAAGTTAGGTCTGTGGACTTAAGACTTAAAGGGCTGGTGAAAGTGATAGAAATAGAAGTAATAGGGCTTATGTGTCCGAAGCACTTGAATTTATATGAAAGGACATATACGCTCATCTACATTGTTCTTTAAGTACAAAGTTTGAATTGCATGGAAGAATGAAGCTCTCATCAAGATGGTCCAGGATCGAAGTCAAAGTGCAACCTCATAATACTGACAATTTGTACAGTGGGGCTTTTTTTTTTCCCATTTTAAATTGGATTCCACTGGTCTACAACACTGTGTGTGACTCAGAGGTATGGGATCACATTTGTTCAGATGTTTTTTATTTTTTTTTAAACAGGTCTACTTCAGACCTGGATATGTAATAAAATTTGCATTAAATATAGTGATTTTTATTTTCAGATTGAAAATTTGCAAGAACAACTTAGGGATAAAGACAAACAACTGACCAATCTGAAAGACAGAGTGAAGTCCTTGCAGACCGACTCCAGTAATACGGATACAGCACTGGCGACGCTTGAGGAGGCTTTGTCAGAGAAGGTGAGCTTGAACTAAAAAGCAGGGGCATCAGGATTTAGGGAAATATGCTTGGGAGAAGAGGATGCATTTAAACATGCCTGCTTTTCTCCATGCGACTGACACCACCCTCAGTCCCAGCTGGACCTCCCCAGCTTAACCCTCTTAATTAGATGGTACTGTGAAGAAGCCAGGGTGGGCTTTGAAATGCAAACCTGCTCACATCATCTTGGCCTTACTTAAGTATCTTCACTGGCTTGTCATTATTCTTAGGATGATACAAGTTGATAGCCTTAACCTGGCTCAAAGGGTTCATCCCTTCATCTGTCTAGCACTTGTCTGCAAAGTCACCTCTCTGTTACCACCTCTTAGCCCTCCCTTCCACCCTCCCTCTCTTTCTTCTTCTCTCCCTCCCTCCAACCTCATACCCCATCTCTTTTTACTCTAGCTTTGATTTTCAAGTGTACAATATTACCTCTTGGCTCAGACCCTTTGCACATACTATTACCCAGCCCAGAATGTTCTCTACTCTGTGCAAATGTAATTCCTCTTCTGATAGCTCAGCTTCCTGAGAAGCTATATTGCACAAATGTCAAGAATGTGAACTTTAGGATTAGACTGCCTGGTTCCAAATCTTAGGTCTGATAGTTACTTCTTTGGACAAGTTACTTAACCTCTCATTTCCTTAGTCTCTTCATTTGTAAAAGGAAATGGAGGAATTATCATTAGATTAAATGACCCATGGGTTCCCCAGGCAGTGTATCTTAAAGAAGCCTTTTTTGATTTCTACTTCAGAATCACCAGGATGTGCCTGTTGAAAATCTAAATTATTAGTCCCTCTACACCTACTGTATCAGAAACTTGAGTAGGGCTTGGGAGCCTGCAATTTAGCAACCCTCCCAGATTATAGGGATATATAGTATAACTTCACAACCATTGTTCTATTCTGAAAATATAGAAACTAAAACAAAACTAACCATATTTCTATAGCTAAAGAGTTTTCATGTACCTATTAAAATTATAAACTTACAACTTCAGGACTAAATTTGTTTTAAAAAATTATGTTGTATTGTACCACATATAATACATTATGTGTATTATACCACATCAAGAAGATGTGGTACAATACCCAATGGAATATTATTCAGCAATCAAAGAAGATAAACTCATGCAATTTGCAGCAACATGGATGGAGCTGGAAGGGATTATGCTCAGCGAAATCAGCCAGAAAGAAAAAGAAAAATACTGGATGGTCTCACTCATAGCAGGAATCTAGAAAACCTAAATAAGGGACCAGGAAAAAGAATAACTATAATAAATTAGAAATCAAAATCAACAAGCAATTATAAACCAAAGACGCACTGCAGTGGGGGGAGGAGGAAGTGGGATCAAAGCAAGGGGGTGGTGGGAATTTTATGGGGACTATAACCAAGGTGAAAATGCATACATTATGCAAAAATGAAAAATTATGTAAAAATATATAAAATTAAAAAATAATAAAAAATAAATTTTTAAATGAGTAACAAAAAATATCTATCATGGAAAAAAAATTACGATGTTCAAGCCAAACAGAATAACTCTGTGGGCCAGCTTTGGCTTTGAATAATTTCCAAACTTCATTTGCACCTGATATTTAGTCTTTCACAGTAATAAAAGCTAACAGGAGGGAATTTTCAGAAGTGTCAAAACCAGAATGCTAGTGTACTTGGATAGCACAGACAAAAATGTTGGCTGGGAATGGGCAAAAGATAGTATCATGGGACAAAAGATAGTAGATTTACTGTATTTATTGCAGTGGGTATCAAACTTCTGGTGTATCCAAATAATCTTATTATATGGGGAGTGTCTTAAAATACCTTTTCCTGGTGATTCTGGTTCAGTTGCTCTGCTGTGGGGCCTGTGATTTTTAGCAATCATGCTCTGTGATTCTGATGCAGATGATCAAAAGCCTATACTTCGAGAAACACTAAGTCCATACTCTTCCATTGTAAAGATGGAAAAGGGAACATAACTGTAGGGTTAAGTTCAGATATTTCAGCTGTATATATATATATATATATATATATATATATATATATATACACACACACACACACACACACACACACGCACACACACCCTTCCACCCCCCCCCACCCCCATACCCATGACAGCTTTCCAGGCTGGTGCTTTCCTTTCTACACACAGACTTCTCACCTGTTACTAAAGCTCAGGTGTTTTAATTTAATCAATAGCTTTGACCCATAGGGAGCTCATCACATTAATGAAACCAGGCTTAATACTTTGGTCTCAAAATAACTCTGAGTAAAAATAAAACCTAAGAAAAAGATTGGTATTTAATTATGACCAGAAAATGGGCCTCCACTTTTGTTACCAGGCAGATAGAATGTATACGGATTAAGAGAATTGACTGGGCCCAGAGCACCTAGGTTTGCACCCTAGATCTGTCATGTGATAGATGTTATTACCCTCTCTCATCCCTTATTTGTAAAATTAGATAATAATGGTTATCTACCCTGGAGGGTCATGATGAGGATTAGAATAGAGGTAAGATTTAGGATAGCACTTGGCACACAATACCCCGATATTAAACATTAAATATCATTATTACTCTCCATCACTCAAGCTATAGCTCATAGCTCTCTTATCCAGAACACCTTCCTCTAAACATTGAGCCCTCACTGCTCTCTCCATTTCTGGATTTCTCTTAAGAGTCATTTCTCATTCTCGCATTTGATGACATGCAGAGTTGTGATTTCAGTATTTCAGTCTTAATATTGCTTCCCATATAGATTGTATATCCTTGGTAGGGGGAACCATGTTCCTTACTTCTGTTGGATTTCTACAACTCATGGCCCAGTCCTGGCTAATTACTGGATACTTAAACATCCCTGGAGTGTGTTCACCCTTCTGAAAAATAGGGATGCAGTATAGTATATATGGTTCTATAGTGGCTCGAGTGTAAAGACTTATATTCGCACAAAAATCTCTGAAATATTTATAGCAGCTTAATAGCTAAAAACTGGAAGCTATTTAGGTATCCTTTTTCCAGTGAGAGTAAACAGAATGTGGTCTCTACATAACCTGGAACACTTCTCAGCAAGGGAAGGTATGAGCTCTTGATACTTGTAACAACCTGGAGGAACTTTCAGTGAATTGAACTGTGGGTAAAACAGGGCCTCCCTGATGGTGGAGGGATTAAGTTTCAGCATTAGCACTTTGTTGGCCAGACTTTGATCCTGGCCAGGGAGCTGACCCACATATGGCACAGCAGACCCTTCCTATCTTGTCTGCTGCTCCCCTCAGCAGTGTATTTCAGTAGATCTGCCTGTTCTGCTCCTCATTCTATCTATGGGGAATCCTATCACCCCTTCCCATTTCTCGCCTACACCCCAGTTCTTTTACTGAAAAATAAATAAAATCTTTAAAAATATCAACTGTGTGAAAACAGCCAGCCCCCAAAGGTTTAATATTTTATGAATCTATGTAACATTCTTGAAATGGCAAAAGTATAAAAATAAGACCAGATTGATTTCTGCCAGCAGTTAAGGAGGGGCAAGTAAAGCAGAGAGGAGCAGCAGAAGGGACCCCAGTGGGGATGGAAATGTTCTAGGTATTGATGGTGTCAGTGTCAATATCCCAGGTGTGATATTTGCTATAATATATTTGTCCTATAAGATGTTACCATTGGAGGAAATGGGAAGTATACAGGGGTCCCTCTATATATTTCTTACAACCTCATGTAAATGTATGATTAACTTAATAATCAAATATTTAATTTATAAAAATCATAAATTTTTATAAATTTTATAAATTGTGTTATTTCTCAAGTCTCTTTTATTTTTTATTTTTCTTTAAAAGGACATTTTACTAAAAGATAGAAGGGATTAACAGTTTTAAAATCAAGTCTTACATCATTGTTCATTTTTAAACAATATTTGCTTCCCCCCACCCTCTCAGGTGTAGTCCCCATAGTGTCCTTCACCAATGCACCCGTGCACCATCACCTCAGTCCCCTGTGCTCTTCCCTCCCTCCCTCTGATCCCTCCCTCTCCCTCCTCCTCCCCTGCAGGATGTCTCTGATTTATAATTGTCCGTTTTTGCTTTGTTGTGTTTTGTACTGTTATTATTTTCTTACACTGATGTCTTATTGGGTTCCCCTATATTCCTGTTATAAGTGAAACCATCCAATATTTTTCTTTTTCCTTCTGGCCTATTTCACTGAGCATAATTCCTTCTAGTTCCATCCACGTAGCTGCGAATGGCATGAGTTTATCTTTTTTGATTGCTGAATAATATTCCATTGTGTATATATGCCACATCTTGATCCAGTCATCTATTTTTGGGTATTTGGATTGTTTCCAGATTTTGCCTATTGTGAATAGTGCTGCAATAAACATAGGTGTACAGGTGTGCTTTTGAATCAGTGTTTTTGTGTCCTTTGGGTAGATCCCTAGGAGTGGAATTGCCGGGTCATATGGTAGTTCCATTCTTAGTAGACTGAGGAACCTCCAGACAGCTTTCCATAGTAGTTGGACCAGTTTGCACTCCCACCAGCAATGTAAGAGAGTTCCTTTTTCACCGCATCCTTACCAACATTTGTTGTTGCTTGTTTTTTGGATATGTGCAGTTCTTACTGGTGTAAGGTGGTATCTCAATGTGGTTTTGATTTGCGTTTCCCTGATAATAAGGGATGTTGAATATTTTTTCATATGCCTGTTGGCCATTTGTGTTTCCTCTTTGGAGAAAGGGACTCATCTCTTTTAGACCAATTCTATTTTTAGGAATAAAGTTTGTTGATTTTAGTTTTTTAAAAAAAAGCTGGGAAATGGGTCCAGTGAGATAAAAAGACTTGTCCAGAAATGAGAATTCTGGACATGTGTGGCACCATCCCCCGAGCAGATAACAGCAATCGTTGAGGTGCTAGCTTCTTACCCAGCACTCCAGGAAGCCACTTCTATTCTAAGTTGGTCCTTGCTTGGGAATTGGTTTCCTCATTTGAACTATCCCAAGGCCTCACAGCTCAGGGATGATGGAATGGGACTGTAACTTTAACTGTTTGATTTTTGTGCTTTTGACAACATCAGATCGCCTTTAATGGGCTCTCCCTCACAAGTTACATTTTTATCCACACTTAATTGTGCAGATCCGTTGGAACAAGATATGGTGCAAAAATATATTTAAAAATTGTGGACTCATGAGAACATTTAATGATTTGCTATCTTTTGACTGATGAAAAGAACCCATTAGGCACTGTTCACCATTCCACTTGCATTAGGACACCCCAGGAAGTGTGTTATTCTTTGTCATTTCCAGGAACTTATTCAAATGTTCCAAGCATGCAAAAAATAATGCTGCTTAGTGACTTAAAACTGAGTATGACTTAGTTCTAGGATTGACACAGAAACTGAAGAGACAGGTCCCACAGTATTTTTAAAGCTAGTCCCGCCAAGTCTTGTGGTAGCCACATAGCAGATAAGCAGTTGAGAAAGCCAGATAGGCCACTGCAATTCAGTTCCCATTTAGTGATAAAGCACAAATAGATTAGACCTGTGCAGAACCAGATGGGTGTACAAGGAACACTTGCCAATGCAAATAAGACTAAAACAAGAACACATTGTTGGAATTTCTGCAAGTTAGTTGTTAATCAAGTAGATCATGGCATATTAGGGCCTTTTAGCACATGTTTTTGACATCTGGCCCTGTGCAGCTGACAGTTAAATTAGTTTTGTGATTGACGGAGAAATATTTTGTAGTATTGAATCATCAATAACACTTAAAAACATTATAGTGCTTGCTGATTTTTTTTGTCATCAATGCCCAGTCAATAGTACAAGGGCTTAGAGCAAATCAACCTGCTTTGCAAATGACTCTGACACCTTCTAGATGTTAACACACATACTTAATTTTATTGCCCTTACTTTGAAGCCATGATTATTCCTAATTTGAGTTCTTGTTCCTTCCATCCGCCTTTTTAATTGCCTGTTGTATGTCAGATGGTTTATCCAACCCCAGGTTAAAAGAGTCATACCAGAGTAGTGTTTCCATTTCAATATGAAAGTCAAGGACAGATCAGACCTTAGACCTCTTTGAATGGCCCAGGGATATGAATGTGGCAGTGTGGTCTCTGGTGTGCAGCTAGGACTCAAGAGAGCCCTAAGTCCCAACGTAGACCTTCTGTTGATGAGCTGGGTTTGGTTGAATGAGCAAGCTGGCTTCCTTGAACTGGATTCTGATTTCTACAATGTTACCAGTAGCACTTGTTCAGACCTTGCAGCTGTGATGAGGACTAGACAAGAAGGCTGCATTATGTAGTATCTAGAATGAAGTAAGCTCCCAATAGAGGAAAGCTGCTGCTTTATCTTTGCTCAGATTCAAGCAATATTTCAGGGTCTTCGCTGTTTGCCAAGAAGCCATTGAAAAAATATGGAAGTGAATAAACATTTCCAGACACATTGGAAAACCATTATACAATGAGCTTATTCTTTATTTTGTCTCAAATTATAATTGCGAATTCAACCCTAAGTCCTGGAGGGCTAGGTCATACCACATTTTGATCCACATTTTCTAGCCAGAGAAGAGTCTTCAGAAACCAAGAGAGGTTCTTTGGTGTTGAATGGGAAAACCCAGCAAAGAGCCATACAAGAGCTTGGTTCTGCTTCTTTCCCTTGCCAAGGCTTTGGCAAGCCTACCTTCTTGATGTTAAGTCTCCCTGTACTGGAACTGCTCTTTAAATCTACCAGGTACTACCTTGAAAGGCCTCAGAGAATGAACAGTAAGCTGTCTTGCTGCCCTAACTTTTACTAATAAGCTAAAGCTATATTCATTGTCTTTGTCCATTGTTGTTATATACTACTTCTCTTTACAATTTTGCATATCTTGTGTGTATTGGTTTTTGTAGATCATTTCTTGCTTTTATTACCTCTGATTTCCTTTTGTGGGGTGCGTTGGTATGTATACTGCTGGGCAGTTTCCTGACAGTTCTTTTTTGGCAATTGTGTCTCACAGGAGAGAATAATTGAGCGTTTAAAAGAGCAGCGGGAGAGAGATGACCGGGAAAGACTAGAAGAGATAGAATCCTTCCGAAAAGAGAACAAAGACCTAAAAGAGAAGGTCAATGCTTTACAAGCTGAACTCACTGAAAAAGAGGTGAGTCACGAAAAACAAGTGAATGACCTTCACAGTCCCGTTAAATCTACATTCACCATGGCCTCATGAAGCTGAAGACTCAGTTTGAGGGACTGTAGAAAGGCTTGGGGAAATGGTTCCCTTTTCTTTGCAAAGTTGTCTGAAGCAAAGCAAAATAGTATGTAACCCTCTTCATTGATGATGCTTATCTTTTCTACTCTACTAACTGCATATAGTGCAACTCCTTGAAACTTTTCTTGATGTCTTAGCACATTTGTATGACTTAGAGGATCTGATGTTTTTTAATGTCTCATGATTCATTGCTTGAGATAACAATGACAGCAGCAGTGACAATGATAATAATCATTCTACTCTACTGAGATCCTATTTTTCTGTTGAGTGCTTCTGTTCTTATCCATGCTTCTCAAAGAGATCACTTAATATCAGCACGTTAGGTGGGTCAGGCTGGAAACAAAGGCTTAGGCTAAGTGTGACTGCTCTTATGAAATACCATTTTTACATTATGCTAAATAAGGAAAACAATATTTTCAACCTATAGCAAATGATACAAAGTACATATTTTGGGGCCTTCCCAGTGGCGCAGCGGTTGAGCGCTGGGTTGCGAAGCTGCCCGAAGCCTCTGCAGTGCTGGTTCGATCCCCGGCTGCTCCCCAGCCACCAGAGGAGGGTCCCACATGGTGCGCAGACCTCTCCTGCCGCCCGCTGCTCCCCTCAGCAGTGTACTTCTGTCCTTCTGCCTGCTCTGCTCCCCGCTCTGGCTCTGGTGAATTCTCTCGTCATCCCGTGCTTCTGACTGTACCCAGTGCTGTATAAACAAACAAACAAACAAACAAACAAACAAACAAACAAGCAAACAAGCAAATAAATAAATAAATTTTTTAAAAAAACAAAAAAAACACAAAGTACATATTTTATCTAGATTTTTAAAGTAAAATAATATAATTTATTGCTTGGGGGTTGTGGAGAGGATGCTTGGGACTATTCTCCCTTACTCTTTAGTTCATAGAGGGATAGTTTGGTAGAGAAGTTTGAGATGTAGTAATGCACGCTATTTTATTCACTCTCCTCAATGCAGGAATATGTGCTGTTATCCACAATTGGTTCCTTTACATGCATTTTGTCCAGAGTAAATGTCCCTCTTCTTCAGGCATATTGCAGACCCTTCCTCCCTGCTAGTCTCTGTCACGACTCAGTTGTCCATTTCTCAGCCCCACAGTATTATTCCTGCCCTTGGATTTTGAGAAGTCTCTGTAAATTAAATTCTTCCCCCAAAAGGGAAGCATTGATGAGTAATAGAAGTTTTGAGGAAACCCAGAAGCAAAATTCATATTCCTAAAATTTAATTTCATAGTTTTTTTTTTAGAACGGAGATCATTACTCTGATATGAAAATGCTTCCTACTATTTCACTGCCAAATCCAACCTGGGGGGTCTGCGATTACTGTGGTTGGTATGTGACAGAAGGCACAGAAACCTTGACCTCATCTGCTGCATTCGTCACTGACTGCTTGTGCTGTTTGTGGGTTTGTGCTTTAAAATCGATGTAGATACATATAATTGGAAAGAGATCTTGATGACATTGTGGTCCATAAGCTTTATATGAAAATAATTTTGCCCACAATGCCTGCATTGTGTGAATTTCAGACAGACATTTCAGCAAGCATTTATTGTTCCTGTATAATAATGTGCCTGCCACTGGACTGGGTGTGTTGGTCAAGCTTCCACCAGAAAAACAAAACTATATTAGGAAATTTAACCATATTAAGAAGTTTATTGCAAAGAATTGTTGTGAGGGCTGGCCAGGCAAATTCGAAACAGGGCAGGCCATCAGAAAGGATAGACTGGAAATTCTTAGACCGAGTTGATGTTGTAGTTCATAGGTAGAATTTCTTTTTCTTCACTGAAACATCAGTTCTGCTCTTGAGATCTTTCAACTGGTGAGATCAGGCCCACCAGCTGACACTTAAAGTCAATTAATTGTTGATGTTAGTCACATCTACACAGTATCTTCACAGCATCATCTAGATTTGGGTTTGATTGAATAAGTGAGGATTATATAGCCCAGCCAAATGGACACATAAAGCTGACTATTTCCATCTGGCAATTGAAAATTTATAAAGTAGAATACCATATAATTGCTCACAACAAGGATCTTATAATTTAGTTGGTGTGTTAATAATCTTCATCATGACATAATGACTTTATTATAAAGCTCTTTACTGTTTTTTGTGAAAGTGATATTAAAATGGGATCCATAGAACTGCTTTAGTGGCCCAGAACCTTGGAGAAGAGCTCATATGTCAGTTTCCTCACCTGAAAAATGAGAATAACTAATGTGTCCCTCACAGGGTTCTTAGGAACATTTCTCTCGCTGCTAGTTTTCTTTGACACGGTTATTCCAGTGCCTGTAAAGTAGCTGGGATGTAAGGTATTAGGTATTATCACTTACTAAACTACCACTGTGTGCTCAGTGGTGCTGAAATGGATATAAAGGAATAATACAATGACTGAGTTTGGGTAAAATCTGAACATTTTAGCCGCGGTTAGATGTTACTAACAATTTCATATTCGGCAATGAACACTGCCCTTCTAGCTAGCGATACTACATTCCATGATATAAGCAAGTATTTTTCTTTATGTTTTTGAATTTAGATTATGCAGGGAACCCCCTCTTGGCTTCTGGGCATGATGGAATAATTTACATAATCCCGTATCTGAATTTGGAAGGTACATTATAACTGATGAATTTGGATTTACAGAAGATTGGAACATAAAGTCTGTTCTAAAATTTTAAATAATGTTATTGATTCTATAGATGTTTGAAAAACCATTGTTCATTTTTCTGTTCAAAAAAATGGAATTTGATAAACCTTAATAAGATTCTTCTTTTATATTTGATTGGCCAATTTGTGAGGCTGAGGCTTGAGTATTAAAGTTGGTATTTTATTTTATATTTGCCTTAGCATCTGCAGGTCCTGACAGCAATAAATGTAAATGGAAGGTTCAGGGTGTCTGTTTTGCTATGACATGTAAAGACCACCTTGGGACTTACATCATTAGCATGACTTAGAGACGTGAAACGCATTTACTGACCACACCATTTGGTCACATTTGATTCTACTGCAATTAGACACTGCTTGGTTCTGTAAGTTAGCCAACTTTAATTTCCTGGCCAGAACAGACTATTGTTACCTTAGTAAGACTATATTTACCCTTCCTGTCTAATGCATACTTTATTGCTATGTGTGGAATCAATGTATTCAAATTTAAGACATAGCTAGTAGCAATTCCAAGTGTTTAACTTACCAGTGTTCTTTTCCTTTCAGTCTAGTTTAATTGACCTCAAGGAACATGCATCTTCATTAGCTTCAGCAGGACTGAAAAGGGATTCCAAATTAAAATCTCTAGAAATAGCCATTGAACAAAAGAAAGAAGAATGTAGCAAATTGGAAGCACAGTTAAAAAAGGTAAGTGAAGTCTAAGAAAAATATGCTTATTTTACAATGAATTTATAAAATAGGAAAGGAGGAGACATTTTTCAAAAGAAACAAAGCCCTTATCTTTTGCTGTCTGCTGGTAAAAGAATTAATTAAACACTCTTAACTTTATTCCTAAGAAGTATGCATCAAATCCGTCTGTGAACCTGAAAAATTATCTTAAGTTTCCTGCCTGAAAAAAACTTGACAAATAGATGAAAATAGTAGTGGAAGTGAAAAATATCATAAAAACTAACCGTTTCTCTGGGCAAATCTCAGTCATCAAAAAAGATCAGTGGAAATGTTTACAGAAGATTAAAGACTCTAGGGGCCCTCTTATATCTTGATAAACCTTTATTTCTTTCAGAAGTAACTTAGGTTAAATGTTGTATTGGGATTTTGCAAAACTTTACCTAACAACATTATATTTTTATAAGTTTACCAACATAGCCAACTCCCTAGAATATCAGTGGGATGACTATTTAAACTTGACCAAAATGGCGTTAGTTGATAAGAAAACTTGTTGTATGTGGAAGGCATTAGAAAAGAAAGCAGAATCATAAAATTGCAACATTAACATGTTTTCTCTGAACTGGACATTTTTGTGGAGTACATTTCCAGTCATGCATTGTTCCTTTGACTTTTTCCCTGTGTTGTTTGGTATGTCTGCACTCATTGTTCACATAAAACTCATAACATTATGAGTTTAAGCATTTTGTTTCCCCTTGACAATTTATAAACTTATTCAAAAGTGGTAAGAATCTAAACAATCAAGTAAAGCATAATAAATTTTGACAATGTGTAACTCATAGCGCACTGGAATGGGGATTTATTTGCTAAAGTTATGAAAATATATGACATAAATGATAGAGATGTAAAAGCATATAATATCTGTGAAGCAATTTTTCTGGATATTTTAAAATTTAATATACTGTTTTGTATGATGCAATATAGAACAGAAATGTGATTATTCTGTGTCCACTATACTATAGGAAATTATCCTGAGAAATTTCACACTGACGAAGTTTCCATACTAATACAGAAAAAGAGAAATAGATCAAATTCCTTTACAACAAAACAGCCAGAAAATTTCTGTATTGCAAAATCTAATTGTAAATTCACTCAACATCTCACTTAACAATATCTAGTTAAGAAGAAATCTTGAATATTGGGTAAAAGAACTTAAATTGTCCATGTGAGAATGTTTAAGTGGAGATTGACTTGGCTATTTATGCACTGGGTGTGTGATATGTATTCTTGACATATATATATATATATTTATGAATGTGTTCTGTAGTATGTCCTACATGCATAGACATAGTAAGAAATGACCTATGAAGGGTTCTTTTTTATTTAATGAGTAGTTTTGTAATTATGAGGCAGTCTCTAAGATAGCTCTATGAACAAGAAAATCTCACTATCTCCCTTATGGTCATCTTTCATATTTTCTAACTTGAGTTGCATTGTGCTGAGTCCTGAAGAGGGAGGATCTCAAATAGACCTGGGCATGAAAATTGCCCTTCATCAACTCTGAGGTGCCATTATGGAGATGAGGGCACCCTATATATTATTTCTTCCTTTTCATAAGAATGATCTATAGAATTTGAAATCCTCTAGTAATTAAAAAGAAGAGGCTCATGGATTTCTGCTTATCATTTCCAGGTACATGTCTAGATTAGTTTAATAAATCAACATCTATGCAGTTCAATTTAGTTTCTTTCAACATAGCTATGGTTCACCCAAGAAACCACTTAGAGCATGTGGTTTTCTTAGACTCTCAGGTAGACATCATGTACTAAAATTCACAGACCAATCCCCATAAACATTTTAGCATTCTTTCTAACATTCTAACATTCTGCCACATCTCCAGGATTGAAGTAACAAGTCTGGTCGTCTTGCTGTAAAGGGCCTATTTAGTTTATAAAAAGATAATTTATTTCAAAGTATGTAAATAATTTTTGCTTATACTATCTCCTAAATGCATAGTACAGTGTGATTAAATAAGGTAATTATAATTTAAATATTTTTATACCTAACCTGCAGATGCTATTTTGTTATTTTTGGCCATGTAACATCAACTAAATTCAAGCATTTAAAATACTTTTTTTCAGTAGTCTTTAATTTCTTTTAATAAATAGTTCCGTAAAAACCCCAAGTACCCATCACCTTAAAAAGAATTGAGATCTACATGAAATATTTGAAAATATAAGCCAACAGTATATGAATATACATATAAACACATCATTTACTCATGGAAAAATAAGCAGCTATTAAAGCTTAAGGAGTGTCTGGGCCGCCTTTTAAATAAAAGGGTATGTGACTTGTGAATAAAATATAAAGGGTTACTAAATGAAAGCTGAAAACATAATAGTTTTATTATGTCATAAATAAACCATGAATTCCCAATGGAGTTTTGCTCAAGATTTGCAAGAGTCCAGGTATTTTTGCCATAAAATACACAACACTGTAGATGTGTTTAACTGAACAGAAATCTTGTCTGTCTGTGACAATGGAATCCAAATGGTGATTTAAATTTGCTTTGTCTTATAAACAATGCTTGAAATTGGCAAGGTGAATTTCTACATAAAAGTTTATGGAGCACATTCATACACATAGTTCTTTTTAACACTTTCCTCTGCTAATTGAAGACATTACCAAATACTTTGTGATTTTTTTTTTTTTAAAGGTTACCGGCAGAAAAGGAATTATGCTTTACACATTCTAGTCCATCTTTTAAAAACAATGCAATCAAGTAGTCATGTGAGATGAAATCTTTACTGATATTAGTGAGGCTGACAAATGACACTATCCAAACAATGCATAACTACTAGTTATGAGTGTGTTTTATAAATGCACATTAATCTTAACTAGACATCTAGGAGTTGAGAAGGATCTGATTAGTCATGTGTGGGTTATTTTACCTTTCAAAAGCATATTTGGTATTCAATCTATAGAAGTAAATTCATCTTATATGATTAGAAATCACTTGAGGAACAGGAGAAATCCAAATGTTATGATTTGTGCTATTTGGTAATTTTCCAGTTGATATCATCTTTGAAGAAGGGTTTTATTTTTTTAACCATAGTAAAACTGTCATTTCCTTTATCAAGGCTGAGGAAACAGCAAATTCACTCTTGAGACGTCTATGTCTTAACTTAAAGTAACTTAAAAGCTCCTATAATATTTTAACTTCTATACCTTAGTATTAAGTCCCAAATTAATGATACAAGTATTTAAGATATTATGGCTTGAGAATACTACTTAAAATATTTAGTGCATTTAAATCCACAAATATTTAATTCTACACATATTAGACATGACACTATTACAGATTCTAAAGTTTACTTGAAGGATAGTAGGATAGTAGAAGGATAGTAAGATAGTCATTAAATTTTATATTTTTTAATAATTATGAACTAAGAATAGAAACTGGTAACAGCAATAGATAACCACTATATTTCGGTTCCTTCTATTCTTCCTGCTGACTAAAACTTTTTCTTCTTTCATTTACTGTTAATACAATAATGTCTTGTTTACTGATATTTTGCTATTGCTAACCTGCTGTTTGCTGATCTATATTTTTCTAAAGTTAGACTGAATAAAAAATTCAGACAAGCTATAAATTCAATGATAAGATTTAATTAATCTTTTATTATTACCGTCTTTGAAGTTCAGGTAATAAATTGCAGACTTGGCCAAAAGTACTTCTTCTGATTCATTGCTAGAGGCCAGCACTTCATGTATCATCAAAAGTGGACAGCTTTCTTTATTTCATGGGTTATTTAACTTGAGAAAGGGAAAGTAACACAAACCTTAAATTTCTTATTCCAGCTATTCTTTTTTAGGAGCCAAAGTCAACATTTCTATTTCCCTAGAGTCTCTCACTTTCACTGTGGAATGTTTAGAAACTGAAATTTCTTCTTTTTTTAATAACCAGTTCGTCTGTGCAAATGCACTGGATTTGTTGAGCTAATGCTGTTTTTCTGGATCTTTCCTCTTTCCCTGTCTGTGCTTCAATGCCTCCCCAACTTTGCAATGTAGCAAGCTGAGCAGTTGTTCAATCAGATGTACAATCCAGTAAGTCATTTCTGAAAGTTCCCGCTGTAACATATCAAAGCATGAGGATCCATTTGAACACAAGTCACAGTGTGCCATTTGGGGAGTTTCAAAAATATTTATGAATCTCTTCCCATTTCTGTTCTGTCAAAGGAAATGACCTGTGCAGAGGCCACTGCCATTTCTTTTGAATGTGAAATGAAAAAAAATTGAGAACTCAAGGAAATATCACCACTCTGATATTACTTCCTCCTTCAATTCTAAGGCTATAGAAAAGCAAATGTCAACTGCAGGTCTAGAATCATGGAATTTTTCTTAGATCCTCAAACACAGAATTATCCATGCCCATAGGGATAGCATTTATAAAGAGGAAAACACCTCATGGATGGTACATTCAAGTGACAAATTAAAATAGGTTTAGTCTTTAAAATTAGGAGCATATTCTTTAAGAGCAATAAGTGCCTAACAATATGGTGTGTTTTGTGAGAATTAAAAACTTGTCATTTGGCTGAAGACAAACTAAAATATAGCCTCCTAATAGCAGATAGTAGAAATTATGATTATAGGATAATAGTACAAAAAAATAGGTAACTAGTAAAAATAGGTGAAAATGGTACAGATGCCCCTTTCATTTTTTTAATCTATGTGCAGTAGTGTATTATATGAAGTAGTTTCTTTAATTTATTAAAGAAGGAGGGGTTTTTTGTTTTGTTTTATTCCAATTCAAGTGGATTACTTTGAGAACATTATATAAAGGTGATCAAAATTTGTCATTTGGCAGAAATGTTATCATAAATTCTAAATTACCTCCTATTTGTTAATTCCCTTCATGGGAAAAAAGGAATAGCATGGATAAAGAAATCAATTCAGGACATACTGAAGCAAGATACACAAGATACTTGGGTACATTGAATTAGATTTTGTCTTCATTGCCA